TCCCAAAAAATAGATAGCAAGCCAGCCAACGCCTCACCTCAGTTTCTCGCATGCTAAAGAAGCGATCTAAAATGGGAAAACATTTCATAGGCTTTATGCAAGGCATATTTGATGAGGGACATGCACAACCAGCGCCACCATTAGAGGAACAGGAGGAATGTTTAAAGAAGCGATCTAAAATGAGAAAACATTTCATAGGCTTTATGCAAGTCATATTTGATGAGGGACATACACAACCAGCGCCACCATTAGAGGAACAGGAGGAATGTTGGTACCTCCCCCTTCTTTGGGGTTTATCATCACATAAACCAGACCAAATAAGGGTGGTTTTTTACTCCAGTGCACGCCATCATGGAGTGTCCCTAAACGACATCCTCCTTACTGGCCCCAACCTCAACAACAGTTTGGTGGGAGTCCTCCTGCGGTTCCGCAAAGAGCAAGTGGCAGTCACCGCTGACATCAAGCAAATGTTTCATTGTTTCCTAGTACGGGAGGATAACAGGAACTTCCTGTGTTTCCTTTGGCACCAAGACAATGATATGGAGAAACCTATAGTGGAGTACCGTATAAGAGTGTATGTGTTTGGGAACAGTCCATCGCCTGCCGTGGCAATCTACGGACTCAGAAAAGCATCCCAAGATCAAGAGAATGGTGACTGCAGTACCAGACATTTTGTGGAACAGCATTTCCATGTTGATGATGGTCTCACCTCATTCCCATCCGATGATGATGCTGTGGCTGTTCTCAAGAAAGCGCAAGAGACACTGGCCGCATCCAATCTGCGACTGCACAAGATTGCTTCTAACAGCATCAACGTGATGAGGGCATTTCCAAAGGAGGAAATGGCAAAAGGACTTAAGGATCTTGACCTCGGAACTGACCTTCTACCTGTGCAACGAAGTCTCGGAATAAGCTGGGATGTCGCTACAGATGAGTTCACCTTCCAGGTGTCAGCCATGGAGAAACCATACACTCGAAGAGGGGCACTGTCAACCGTGAATAGTTTGTACGACCCCCTTGGGTTCGCTGCCCCAGTCGTCATTCAAGGCAGGGCCTTGCTAAGGGAGCTCACTGTGGGGGCCTATGAGTGGGATGATCCACTCCCCGAGGAGAAGCTCAGAGAATGGCACAAGTGGAAGGACTCCCTTAAGGATTTGGAACATGTACGAATCCCAAGGACATACACCTCCACACCTTTTGACAGTTCTACAGACAAAAAGCTTAGCATTTTCTGTGATGCCGCTATACTAGCAATCGCAGCTGTGGCTTATATTAAGGTCACAGATGCAGAAGGCAAGTGTGGACTTGGATTTGTATTTGCCAAAGCCCACCACAGCCAGAAGTGACCATCCTTAGGCTCGAACTATGTGCAGCCGTTCTAGCCGTGGAAGTCGCTGACATGCTCACAGAAGAGATGCACACCCAGTTGAGTTCTGTGAAATTCTTCACCGACAGTAAGGTTGTACTTGGCTACATACGCAATGAAACCAGAAGGTTCTATGTGTATGTAAGCAATCGCATTCAGAGAATCAGGAAGTCATCTCTACCTGAACAATGGAATTATGTCCCAACAGATGCGAACCCAGCAGATCATGCTTCAAGATCCATGCCTGCAAACACCTTGATGCCCAGCACATGGTTCAGAGGGCCAGACTTCTTGTTGAAGCCAGCAACACATGCAACTGATAGTGGGACAACCTTTGACTTGGTTGACACAGAGTCTGAACCTGAAATCCGTCCTTTGGTGATATCTTGTGCAGTCCATGTTGCAGAGTTACCTCTGGACCCAAGACACTGTGAGTCATTCTCATCCTGGAGATCTCTTCTCAGGACCATATCCAGGCTCATCCATGTGGCTAGTTCCTTCAAGCAAGGAAATGGCAAGAACAAGTGCCAGGGTTGGCACATGTGCAAGACTCCTCACCCAGACGACCTTGTAAAGGCTAGGCGCATCATCATACGTAGCCTTCAACACAAGGCCTTTCCCGAAGTCCTTGCATGTCTCCAGGCGAGGAGGCTGATTCCTGAACACAGTCAGCTTGCAAAGCTGTCTCCCTATTTGGATGAGGATGGTTGGCTCAGAGTAGGATGATGTTTGTCATAGGCTGACCTTCAGAGCAACGAAAGGAACCCACTCATCATTCCTCGCCATCACCACCTGACGACCCTACTGATACGGCATTACCACCAACAGGTTCAGCACCAAGGGTGCCACTTCACTGAAGGTGCGGTGAGATCAGCTGGTCTATGGGTCATAGGTGGGAAGCAGTGTATTAGTGCCATTATCTGTGACTGTGTGACCTGTCGCAAGCTCAGGTGGAGACCAAAGACACAAAAAATGGCGGATCTACCTGTGGAACGCCTGACCAATGACCCCCCATTCTCCTATGTTTGGACCCTGGACAGTTGCTTCACATCAAACACGGGGATGGCTACGCTAACAGTAAACAGTGGGCAGTCATTTTCAGTTGTATGAGCACCAGGGCCATACACATTGAACTAATGGAATCGATGGACTCTTCAAGCTTCATCAGTGCTCTGCGACGATTCCTCTCCATTCGTGGACCAGTGAAACAGTTGAGGTCTGACTGGAACCAACTTCTTTGGCGCATGCAAGGAGCTTGGCATTGATTCGAGGCAGTGCAACAACCAGGCAATACAGGCGTTCTTAAGCGACAATAGCTGTATTTGGATATTCAACCCACCTCAGGCTTCACACATGGGAGGCAGCTGGGAACGCATGATTGGTGTGATGAAACACATACTCGATTCCATGCTCATGGACATTACACCTCGCCAGCTGACGCAGGAGATATTAGCAACATTCTTAGCAGAAGTACCTGCCATTGTCAACTCAAGACCACTCATCCCGGTGTCTACCGACCCGAGTTTCCATCTGATTCTGACACCAGCTACTCTCCTTACTCAGAAAGTTGGAGTCCCTTCCATAGCTTCTGGTGATTTTGATGAGAGCAACCTGTACAGACGGCAATGGAGGCAAGTGCAACACCTCTCCAACGTCTTCTGGCACCGCTGGAAGAACCAATAGCTCTCTACTCTACAAGGCCATAGGAAGTGGCGCTCCGAGGGATATAACTTGAGAAAAGGAGAAGGAGACCTCGTGTTGTTGAAGGACCCATGGGCGTGGTGGTCAAATCCTACCCTAGCCACAATGGGAGAGTTAGAAAGGTGGAAGTGACGGTTGTCTCAGGAGGAACCTGCAGGACCTTCTTAAGACCCATAACAGACACTGTACTCCTCCTACCAAACTCCAATGACAAGGACAGTGGGGAGGGGTGAGACTGTGACATCCTACTGATGTCAGGCGGGGAGTGTGCTGGCTGTGTTTACTCTTGCCAGCAGAGGGCGCTATGTTTGTGTTCTTCCATTTGTTATGCGCTGTTACCGCCAGTGAGTTAGACAGGAAGCAGGAAGTAAATTATGCATGCTTAGTTTATAGGTGACAGCTACATGATTCAGATGTCTTATGGCTCAATCCGCATCTATCCTCAGTTTGTTGTTTACAGAAGCATTGTCTGTAAGTACCGTTATGGTTTAACAGCATTATAAAAGGTTATTTTGATAGTTGTGAGCATTTAACAGCCTTCTGTTGATAACATTCTGTGTGAGTAATACAGCGATATGGCAGCTACATTTAGCTCAGTATAAACATCCGTTAGCTTGTTATGAGGGCTCAAAGTAAGATGACGTTTGTCATAGGCTGACCTTCAGAGCAACGAAAGGAACCCACTCATCATTCCTCGCCATCACCACCTGACGACCCTACTGATACGGCATTACCACCAACAGGTTCAGCACCAAGGGTGCCACTTCACTGAAGGTGCGGTGAGATCAGCTGGTCTATGGGTCATAGGTGGGAAGCAGTGTATTAGTGCCATTATCTGTGACTGTGTGACCTGTCGCAAGCTCAGGTGGAGAACAAAGACACAAAAAATGGCGGATCTACCTGTGGAATACCTGACCACTGACCCCCCATTCTCCTATGTGGGGGTTGATGTGTTTGGACCCTGAACAGTTGCTTCACATCAAACACGGGGAGGCTACGCTAACAGTAAATGGTGGGCAGTCGTTTTCAGTTGTATGAGCACCAGGGCCATACACATTGAACTAATGGAATCGATGGACTCTTCAAGCTTCATCAGTGCTCTGCGACGATTCCTCTCCATTCGTGGACCAGTGAAACAGTTGAGGTCTGACTGGAACCAACTTCTTTGGCGCATGCAAGGAGCTTGGCATTGATTCGAGGCAGTGCAACAACCAGGCAATACAGGCGTTCTTAAGCGACAATAGCTGTATTTGGATATTCAACCCATCTCACGCTTCACACATGGGAGGTAGCTGGGAACGCATGATTGGTTTGACGAAACGCATACTCGATTCCATGCTCATGGACATTACACCTCGCCAGCTGACGCAGGAGATATAGCAACATTCTTAGCAGAAGTATCTGCCATTGTCAACTCAAGACCACTCATCCCGGTGTCTACCGACCCGAGTTTCCATCTGATTCTGACACCAGCTACTCTCCTTACTCAGAAAGTTGGAGTCCCTTCCATAGCTTCTGGTGATTTTGATGAGAGCAACCTGTACAGACGGCAATGGAGGCAAGTGCAACACCTCTCCAACGTCTTCTGGCACCGCTGGAAGAACCAATAGCTCTCTACTCTACAAGGCCATAGGAAGTGGCGCTCCGAGGGATATAACTTGAGAAAAGGAGACCTCGTGTTGGTGAGGGACAGTCAGGTCAAGCAAAACCACTGGCCCATGGGCGTGGTGGTCAAATCCTCCCTAGCCACGATGGGAGAGTTAGAAAGGTGGAAGTGACGGTTGCC